TGTGCCCTGGGCCGGGGCTGTGGGGTCCGGTCCCCCCCGGGCGCGCGGGGTCTGCGGGCCTCCTGTCCCTTCCGACTCAAAGGGAATGAGCGGTGGTCAGGGAGCTAGACGTCCCCGAGAGACATCCGGTACCTGCTCACCCTCCTTTACCCGCACCCCTGTAGGAGGTACTTCATCGACTCCGCCAACCTGAAGACCCACCTCCGAACCAAAGACCACAAGAAAAGGTATGGAGGAGTCAGGCGGGGGTCGAGGATGGGTGTCCGGTTGACAGGGCGCCCATCTGGGCAGCTCTCATCTCCTTTTTTCCTCCCCCAGGCTAAAGCAGCTGAGCGTGGAGCCCTACACTCAGGAAGAGGCTGAGAGGGCAGCGGGTATGGGCTCCTATGTGCCCCCCCAGCAGCTGGCAGTGCCCACCGAAGTATCCACTGAGGTCCCTGAGATGGACACGTCTACCTGACATGGCCTGCAGGTGCAGGGCAGAGCCGCCGCCCATGGACAGTGACGCAGGGCTAGGCTGGGAGAGACTGTGCCATCCTTTTTTGGCCCTGAGTTTGCAAGTGGGCGCCCTCCACTCAAATAAAGGAACTGGATAAAGAGTGCTTGCTTCTGACTCCCTAGCCTCCAGGCCTCCACCGAACTCCTGCCCTTAAGGATTTCTCTGCCACTCTTGTGTGCAGGAATCAGAGTGTCTATTCCCTACTTGGTCCAGCTGTGGAACCTGCATCCTTGCCTGGAGCCACCAGGCAGAGCCCAGGTACAGTGGGGGTGGGGGGTGGGGTAGAATCAGGTTTATACGGCTCTGCTTCCAATGAGGGCAGAAATGAAGTGGGACCCCAAGATTGCAGTCCCTGCTGAGTTACCTACTGCCGGGGCCCAGGCGACAGGCTGCCCACTTCGTCATGGGGCGGTGGCTGTTGTCCCACCATCTTCCAGACAGCATAGCAGGAGCCACCCAGTCCAAGGACAGCCAGCAGTGTAGCCACAACCCCAGCCAGTGGACTCCGGGGCTCTGCCTTCAGCTCCCCGGCCACCTGCATCTGGGGATGTACAGAGGGTCCACCTGAAGGGTCAGTTGAGACTTCTAGGAAGGGAAGGGGCTGAGAGGCACAGCTGGGTGAAGGAGAGATGGCCGCCATTGCTGCCCCAGGGAGAGTCCACCCTAGTTCCTCTCGCTTCAGTGCCCATCTGGGTCCTGGCTGCTCAGGCTGCAGGGAACGTGACAACATTCCCTGGCTGTTGGGGCCCACAACCCCGTCACAATAGGGGGAGGAAGGGGTCGGTCCCAGAAACCATGAGTTAGAGGTACTTACCTGTAGCACCCGGAAGTAGCCAGGGGTCAGGCGTCGCAGTCGCATGGTGGGTGCCACTCGTCTCCCTGGCAGCCTGCGGGGTGTAAGCAGAAATGAGGACCAGTGGTGCTCTTGGTATGAAGAAATGGAAATATGAGGGCAGAGAGGTTCCTGACCTCTCATAGCCATGCCCTCAGAAGATGCTCACCAGAGTCTGCCCTCCCAGGTCTGTCAGGGGGTGGGGCAGCTGGACCTTTAAATCTGGTCCCTTCCCCCGCCTGCCTGCCCTGCCAGCCTTAGGAGCAGCTGTCAGGAGAGATCAGCATCAGGCCTGAGCAGCACCTCCCCCACCCACCGGGTATGCAGGCTGGGTAGGCGGGAGAGGCCTTGCCTGACAGCGCCCAGGCTTCTTAGGCCTAAACCAGGTACTGGGAGGACCCCTGCAGCCCTGGTCCTGGCCCTTGCCTACCGCCGATGATTGGATGTCACCTGTCAGCTCTCAGCACAGGTGGGAAAGGGCACCTTACCCCCCGCCACAACAGTGACTCTTTCATTTGGTTTGGGTTAGATCAGCCACACCTTGGGAGAGGGCACACATCACCCCTTTCCCCAAGATGGAGTTCCTGCAAGGACTTTCCTACCCTCAGCTTGAAAATAAAAGATTTGTATATACCGATTTAAAAAGCTATTATTTTTTAGCACATTATAGAAAGCAGTATTCTAAGTAGTTTACATATATTATTTGGCATTAATTATCTCATAAAATGAAAAAGGCTTATTGACAGAATAGTATATAGATTGATTATCTACATGTATAGAGAATGGAAGAACACCCAGCAAATTTAACAGTGGCCCCCACTGTGTAATGGGCTAGGGATATGCTGGGGAAAGGTTCTCCTTTTACCGAATGACCTACTGTTATGTAATGACCTTTGAAATTTTTACAGCAAATGTGTAGAAAGAACTTTTGTTAAACTCATAAACTAACTTCAAAATAGAAGCTGCTGCCCTAGCTGGTTTGACTCAGTGGATAGAGCGTTGGCCTACGGACTGAAGGATCCCAGGCTCGGTTCTGGTCAAGGGCACATGCCCAGGTTTCGGGCTTGATCCCCAGTAGGGGATGTGCAGGAGGCAGCAAATCAAAGATTCTTATCATTGATGTTTCTATCTCTCTTTCCCTCTCCCTCTCTGAAATCAATTATATATATATATATATTTTTTAAACTGCCCTTTATTATGCCCCTGTCTACTCCTGTCAGGTGCTAGGGGCACAGAGTATAGACACTATTGTGGTTATTAGGCCCCCAGTCCTTCTAGGAGAATATGTGGATACAAGTGGTGAGTTCTTGTCTGTTTCTCCCCTACAGGATTGTGAGTTCAGGGAGGGCAGAGGCTGGCTGGCTTCTCACTTCTATGTCTTTTGCTATCTCAGGGTAGGTGTTTGATAACATCAGGATGGTGGAGATGGGTCTGTTTATTGGGCTTTCCCAGACTGCCATCGGGAGACTATTGTAGGAAGGAAGAGGGGAAAAAAACGAAACATTAAAGTGGGACTCAGCATGGAGGAGGGTTGGAGGGGACACATAGTGCAGGGTGTGAGAATGTGAGTTGAAGGACAAAGTCAGAGAGGTGAGGGCCATGTTGAAAATCTGAAGCTACTGGTTCACAAATGAGGGAGCTAGACCTGCGGGGACCTCATGAGATGGGCGTAGAGAGCTGTTATTGAACCCATTTTCAGAAGCGGAAACTGAGCCAGGGAGTCCCCTTTGAAGGAAGCAATTGACTGGTCTGTACTTGTGTTTGATGCCACATGTAAAGATGGGATGGGATCAGCAGAGCTGGCCAAGTTCCAGAGAACTCGATTTGTATGTGAAATTATTAAATGGCCCTAGCTGGTTTGACTCAGTGAATAGAGTGTCGGCCTCTGGACTGAAGGGTCCCGCGTTCGATTCTGGTCAAGAGCACATGCCTGGGTTGCAGGCTCAATCCCCAGTAGGGGGCGGGCAGGAGGCAGCCGATCAACGATTCTCTCTCGTCATTGATGTTTCTATCCCTCTTCCTTCCTCTCTGAAATCAATAAAAATATATATTTTTGAAATTATTAAATGATGGCAACGAACACACGCAGACTACATGGACCAAATTCAGACTTAAGGTCTTGTTAACAGGCAAAATAGTAATAGGCTTTGAAGGCTGGGTTGTGGGGCACTGGTAGAGATTTCAAATTAGGTGGCACAATCAAAGGGGTAGGCTCTAGGAAGGCCTCCTCGTAAAATTAAAGCTCTACTTCAGTGGTTCTCAACCTTCCTAATGCCGCGACCCTTTAATACCGTTCCTCATGTTGTGGTGACCCCTGATTTCATTGTTACAAATTGAACATATTTAAAGCCTAGTGATTAATCACAAAAAAAAACATATAATTATATATGTGTTTTCTGATGGTCTTAGGCGACCCCTGTGAAAGGGTCGTTCAACCCCCAGAGGGGTCGCGACCCACAGGTTGAGAACCGCTGGTCTATTTCATGTTATAGATTTCAAAATACTTAAAGGACCCCTCACAGCACTAAGGTCTAGGTGTCCCCCTTTTAGAGAAGAAGAAACAAGTTCAGAGATGGGTAGAGTTGGGGCTCAGTCACACAGCAAGTGGAACTGATTCTGATTCCACAGTCCTGGGAGTCTCTGGCTGTGCTGGTAATGATAACTGCAAACATTTAGTCCTGGTTTCAGATGTTCTAAGAGGAAGGCTCTTAACCTGGGCTTCAGAATCCAGGGATCCCAGAAACTCGGAGAGAAAAAATACAGATATTTATTTTCACTAACATCTAATCAAAATTTGGCATTTCCTTCCATATGGATTAAAGTGTTAGCAGTATCTGTGGCTTTGTCACCAATAGAAATCACATGTATTTTTATATTGAATTGTAGTTATTGGAAGTATCTCAAAATATTTGTGCTCATAACTACTTCAAAATCATGATAGTTGCCCTGGCTGGTGTGGCTCAGTTGTTTGGGCATCATTCCATGCACACTGAAAGGTTGCCAATTTGATTCCTGGTCAGGGCACATGGCTGGATTTCGGGCTCAAACCCCGATAGGGGGTGTGCAGGAGGCAGCCAATCAATGTTTCATTCTCACATCGATGTTTCTCTTTCTAAAAAATCAATAAAAACATATTTTAAATCATGATAGTTATTAACCCACCGTTAAATCACACTGTTTCAGAGACTCCTGCAACATAGCCGCCATAGATTGGGCACCACTGAGCCACATCGCCCGGCTTCAGCCCCTTTTTGAGGAGCCTAAAGGTCAAAGTCCCTCCTTGTGAAGCCAGTTTGGGGCTGGACCCCAGGCTGACTCTGAGGTCACATGGGTTACACACCAGTGGCACCGCCCCCCATCAAGCCGCCCAGCAGCCCTGGCACGCCTGAAGGGCGGGCAGGAGGCAGACAGGCGGTGGGCCAATGGCTGTCTCTGCGCCTCACCTGGCCAACCACGTGGGCCCAGGTATGCTGGTGGCTCCGCCCCGGGCCCAGCCCAGCCCAGCCCCTCCCCACCCCTGGGCTCCGGGAGCGGAAATTCCTGCGCCCGCAGGACGGAGCGGACGCCGATCCCTTCGGGCGGACTGGACTCCACCATGGAGCCAGTGGAGACCTGGACCCCCGGGAAGGTGGCAGCCTGGCTGAGAGGTGGGTGGGGCCGGGGCAGAGTTGGGCTTGAGGGGCTCTGGGACCGGGAGAGGTAAATAAAGAAAAAGGGCCTGCTGAGGCTGTCAGTTGGTTAGTCTGTCACAGTGTTTATTAGCGTCTGCCTGTGTCTGGAACTGTGCGAGGCAGAGATGAGCCGGGAGGCCGAGGAACCAGAAGGGGTCTCCCATTGCCCCATCATCCCAGGAGGCTGCCAGGGTGGCGATGGCGAGGCGGTGGGTAATGAAAACAGAGGGGATGGCCCAGCGCGGCCCACACCCACGGTATCGCCTTAATCTTCCCTCCGCCCCAGGGCGTAGAGGGCTGTTATTAAACCCATTTTTCTGAAGCGGAAACTGACGCTCTGAGCCAGGAAGTGATTTGCTCTGGCTTTGGAATAGAGCCTGGACTTCCCTTCTCTCCATCCTGAGGCTCCCGTGTGCGAAGCAGAGCCCCAACCAGATGAAAGGTTGGCACAGCCCCCATCCCCACCCCCCGCTTGTGCCCAGGGGTCTCTAAGGGAGATACCCCACAGGCTCAGTGAGCCCAAATGGATGGGAAAGGTCCCAGATGGCCCACAGACTCAGAGAAGTGGAGACCTCTGACATGCAGGTGGGAGGGGCAGGT